GAAGAGCTGACAATGTGACCCTTCCTTGGGCAAGGTTTTAGCACCTTCTCCCTCTGCCTGACTCTCAGGCTGGGGAGGGATCACAGGATATTCTCTGCCTTGCCATTTCTGGATACTTGTTTTTGAACACAGATGTTTCGAGAAACCTGTCATCTCTGTTTCCCATGCCTGAGAGTGGATGAGTCTCTGAAATGAAAAACACTCTAATTTTGTACTGTGTTCTCAGTTGTTATTTCTGTAAAGGCTTTGTTTATTTGGGAAAGATTTTGGTATGTGAATGTGCTCACACCCTGAAATGTTACACTAAGCCAAACGTATAGGCTCTACAAAATGCAAGTTCTAAGTTGCTTTAATTAATAGTAGCTGTCCTCTTAAAATTCGTAGTCTAACGTCTTTAAACATAGCCTTTTCTGTGAAAAATGTTTGTTTTGACATCGAATATGTTGATAATAGGGACTGTGTGTTTTTTTAGAATACAAAAAAGCCCGCCAAGAGATAAAAAAGAAATCATCTGACACACTGAAGCTACAGAAGAAAGCAAAGAAAGGTAACTTCCTTCATACTTGCACTGTTAAAAACCTTTTGTGCTGTGCCCATTGACAACAGCTGAACAGCCGTAAGACTTTCTGTTGTAATAATTCGGTCCCCAGTAATGTATTCCTGGTACATACTTGAACACCAGGGTACAATTACTATGTGTCATTTAAATTATATTCTGAAGCTGCTATCTGATGTTCTTCTACAAAAGCCTTAAAATTGTTTGTACGAAGTCAATCATGTTTTAAAATAGAGCTTTTGCTGTTAACTTATTCTGGTTAGGAACATTGACACTATAACATGATTTGTGCAGATAACTGAAAAATTTTTCTAGAATCTTTTGGAAAATATTAAAAAAGCCATTATGTAAATGTTCTCTAACTATTAACATTTCTCACTGTTCTCCCTTTCTACCGCCTTTCTTCTTCTTTTTTTTTTTTTTTAGCAGCCTGTAATCTCATAAACCTTATATTATTCCTCAAAGAATGAGAAGGTGGCATGAGTTTTTGTCAGGAGGAGGGCACTTGGCAACCGTAGAAAACTAAAGATGAGTAAGAAAAGAAAGGGAGTTCTCCACAAAGGCAGTCTGTCTTTTTTAGCAGCTGAATCTCGTGCTCCTGTTGCTCTCCCACCATCGTCTTGTCACAGGAGTTTCATCATCATGTCAATGGAAACGTGCATCGCCAATAGCCGCAGCATTGCCATCACTAAGGGTGTTACTTGGCCAAGTGCAAATCCCACCAGCTTTGGAAAAATGGATCTCGTACAGAAGCAGACTTTCTGCTTCCCTTTCTCAGCACTGGGCTCTTCCCTACTGGGTAGGAAGTGTTCTGGGACCAGCTCTTAGACTTCAGGTGATCTGTACCCTCCTGCCTAAAAACTGTGAGCCCAGGGACAGGCAAAATACATACTGGAGCAGGGACTTCCTTGACCTTTTAAAATTGTGTGTTATCGAGAACGGGTGAGCTGTCTCTAACTGTCCTTCCTAGTAGGTGAGTCAATAATTATGTTGGTAGAAGCCACATGACTGGAAAACTGCTTCTGAATTTTAGCTGACTTAAATGAGGGAAGAGGGAGGGAGAGATGGAAGACAGCAAGAAGGAGCTTAGCTCAGTAGGTTCTGTATATCTGTCTGTGGAAAAGTTCAGTGTTTTACCTCAGGGTGGTCATCTTCAGAAGAACACAATTTTTTGTGATAAGATTTTTTTTTTTGGAGTGATGCGTAAACATGGTTCTCATTTTGTTTGACAAATTGTCTGACTTTAGACTAACAGCTTCAGCGAGTCTGTGATATTCCCTCCATTTCTTTTCCTTTCTTCCCCGTTTTTGTGGTCTCATTGCTTCTTGTCTTTGCGTGATACAAACAAGCCCTCAATGCGTGGTAGGTGAGAAGTGCGAAAACCATGTCTGTGATCTGGGAAGATGGAACCATTTTTTGAACTTGTTTCTATGAATTGACAGTTGTCTGGCTCCATCTTCCTTTTATCCTGCTCCTGAGTACTGAAAAAATCAATCTGCAGTCTTGGAGGAGGAGACAGCATTTTCTGTAAAGTGGGAAGAGGAAAGAGAAGCTCTTAAAGCCATCTGAAAAAAAAATAAGACACTCGTCTCAGATTTCCTGGATTCCTGTCTGTCTCCCCAAATGTGTGCTGTGTCTAGTGATGAGGGTCAGTACACTGGGGTCTCGTCCTCCTTCAGGATTAAACATCTTTGAGCAGGGAGTGGAACAGGCCTTGTTTTGCTGTCAGTTTTATAGCAGCCATGCTGTGATTGAAGACTTTTTTTTTATGTCATTCCCTTGATTAATTTTGCTGTTGTGACATGTTTTTGGAGTTGTCGGTGCACCTGCTGTATTTCTGTGCTGTGTCCCCCAGAAGTGCTGTCACACACACGCTGGTTGGGTCCAGAGCACAGGTGGGACTGAGGTGGGGTTAGAGCTGGTCGCAGGGGGACACGGATGGGGAAGGTGGAAGCGATGAAGGCTCGCAGGAAGCCGGGGCAGGGGACAGGAGGAGCTGCAATACTTTTGAGTTGTTCTCAGAGCCTCTCAGAGAGGTGCAGGGAGGTGCTGAGGCTCATACAGATGTGAGAAGCAATGCCCAAAGCTGCTGGCCCTGTGGGTTCCCAGCATGAATGGATGGGAGGTGAGAGGAGGTTCACGCTGTCTTCTTGCAAGTTGTCTATATAGAAGAAAAATAAAGTAGCGGATGCTTTTTTCCCTCTTTGCCTTTTGGATCCCTTCTTTGAAGGAATAAAGCATTCATCTGAGTGCAATGTCAAATGTTGGTATGAAAACTTTTTTTATGTACCCACCTTGACAGATCTGTTCAGTGTGCTACATGGTGAAGTGTGTTTCTCTTGCTGTCACTGAGGGATAAGAAAAATCAGGAAGGCGTTTATAAAAAGATAAAGCTGCAGAAGTGATTCTGCTTTAGATCACAAATGAAGTTTGTACTATGGACAGGGAAAATCTTGGGTGGAACTGTCCTGGCAGGCCTGTGGCTGTGCACATGAATGTCTGACTGTGTCTTCAACTCTCCTGTTTCTTTGTTTCTCAGACTGATTTTATTTGTTCTGTTCTTCCTCAAGCAAGACCTGTCCCTTTGATTTTTCTGTAAAGTTACTGACTCACCTATGGGAACTCTAAAACAACCAATTTATTCCCTTTCTAGCACTTGTAAGAATATTTTTGAATTAACCTTTTGATGATCTGTGGTCAAGTGAGATGTTTGCTAAATTCTGATTTTGCTTAAATACTGTGCATGCTACTAGAAAGTCCTTTGAGCTTTATCTGCTGCAACTGGATGGGGAAGTGGTTTTCTTCTGCTTTGAGCAGCTTCGGATCTAGGAACTCAAAATACGACCCTCTGCTTTTCTCATTTGCGTCATGGCAGTGGTGTCCTCTCTCCCTGACGCGTTGGGCTGCGGAGGCTCCCTCTCATAGGCGACGGCTGCAGCATGTGTGGCAGCTCCTTGCTCCTTGCCTGCATCCCAAGGATGTTTGGGAGAAAGGGCCGTGGGCTGAGTGGCTTGTCCTGACAGGAGTGCTACAGGTTGGGCACCTCACCTTGATGCTGAGGGGCTGAGCACCGTGAGGTTTGTTCTGTTTCCATGTGGCCAAGTTGAAAGTTCAGGCCAGGCATTTAAGATGATCTATTAGAAATTATGTTTGCAGAGTAGGTGTGTCCATTGCAATAAAGGTCTTACCGAAGCTTGAACTGCTGGGGAAAACACCAAGCTTTGCAAACAAACCAAAAAGGTGTTAGGGGTCCTTTTCGGAAGTTTCCTGGAGTATGTCTGGTAAAAGTACAAGTCTGTGTGTAAGGGAAGGTCTTGCATTTCAAAAGACCTTACAGGGATAATTTTCATTCTTTTTGTTGTCTTTGATTATATATATAAAAAAATAACAGTCCACATGGAGTTTAAACATCTGTAGCTCGATATGATCCTGGTGCACATTCCAGATTTGGGCAGCCCCAGGGGGTGTCATAGTGATCTTCAAGGTGTGTCCTTTTCTTGAGTTCCTGTTCCCAGACAGGACAGCGTTGAAACTTAGCTCTTGTCTGAACAGATGAAGCTACACAGGGCATAGAACTGCATACATCTTCTAAATTGCTATTTGTTTTCAGACAAACATTGGACATCAGAAGTCAGCCCAGATAACCTGAGTCAGCAGAATAATTATACATATATTTAAACTAAATTCCATGTTTAGGTTTCTGCTGAGTCAAGGCCTCATAAGTGGATTCTTAGCTGCTAGAAGCTGTTGGTGCTATATTGAGTTCAGAGGAGAGACAGCAGCTGTGACTCTGCATGTAACCATTTTGGAAGGTTAACAAAATGCATGATTCTTAGTTTAAAAAAAAAGGAAAAGCATCAAGTAACTAACTTAAAATATAACTGAATGTATATATAAAATCTGGAGTGCATGTTGGCTTTATTTCCTGTATTTCGGCTTGGCTATTAATGATTAACTAGATGGGTATCTCTTCTGCCTCTAACGTGACTGGTAGGTTTCGTTTTCAGGTTCTTCATGGCATGTCACATTGTGTGTGGGCTTTGAGGAGAATGTTTAAATCCAAGCGGATTTGTGTAAAGGAGTTATATGTAGTGTTCCTAATAATATAACGTGTTAATGTGGAAACTTAGTTTTATCTCTAAGCCATTCATAGAAGTTTCTGCAGAGTGCCCTTGACATTCCCTATATTTCATCTTGTGTCCCATCAACATGGAGTATCCAAACTTACAACCTCTACTTTTTAGTATGTGGTAGTTTTGGAAAGTATTTTTACTTTAAATGAAGTTGAGAGAGTAGAACATCATTATTAATTTGCTGAAATACTGCCCAAAGTTCTTTTTCTTCCCCTCCTTCCTGTTAACAAAGATGACCTGTTTGTATTTAAGAGCCTCTGCAGCTGTTCTTGTGTTACACTCTGGTCTTTGAAACTGTATTATTATTATATGAAACTGTATTATTGATTGTGCAAACCCTGTGACTCTTAAAAACATAAAGCTCTTCAACGTAATTATAACCCAAGAACATCTCAAATGCTAAAGCAAATGCTAACCTTCTAATTTAAGTACTTTTCACTCCTTTTATACTTGACACTTTCCCTGCCTGGAGTGCCAGGTGTGGGGGGACCCCTGCCCAGACCCTTTCTCCACCAGGAAATAGTCATAATTCCTCTGAATTGATCAAATGTGGCAACACTGTTCTCTGATGCTGTGATGGCTCAAGTGGAAGCCAGGACTCACTGTGGAGTCACTATGACGCAGCTCAGCAGGAGAGAAGCTAACAAGCAAATTATCCGTATCTGTTGCAGGGGGAAAAAAATCCTGTGTGGTTGAGGCCATGGCACCTGCGCAGTTTTTTTGTGAAAACACATTGCAAAATCAGTAACCAGAGATATTTCTTTGATTTATTTTCATTTCTTGAGTTTTGAATACCTCTTGGTAGTTCTCCTTTTGACAGCATGCCGGGTTTATTGCAAAACTTTATATATAATAAAG